TATATATATATATGTTATTTTTTTTGTTTGCTTACGGGCTTTTTTTTATTTCTCGTTAATCGTGTCCTCGTTAACTCAGACGCACATTTTGTTCGTTTCTTAGCAGTCTTAGTTGGCCGACCGGTGTGGGAGTAGGCCGGTGCGCGTCAGGAGCATATGTCGCCGAAGAAACCATGCACGCGCCGTCGCCGCTTCTCGAAGGTGAAGTTCACTTTTTTCCGTTTGTCCGCCTTTAGCCACTTCGCGGCGGCGGCACGCTCACGTTTTTTCTGGCGCTCCGACTTTGGATTCGCGTCTTCCTCCTCCTCCTCCTCCTCATCACTGTCGGTCTCTTCCTCTTCGTCGCTGCCATCATCATCCTTCTCGCGGCTTCTCTTAGCTGCACTTGAGTTACCGGCGCGTGTGCTGCTGCTGCCAGCATTCTTCTTTGCCCCCTTATCACTCTCACTGTCCATGCTGTCATCATCGTCACTGTCGGAGTCTGTGGACTCGAGACCCTGCTCCTGCTCTCGCTCCCGCTCCATCTCCCGCAGCACCGCCATGTGTTGCTGCTCCGCCTGCGACCTCAGACGGTCCAGCTCGCGCTCGTCCGACATGAAACGCACGTCAACAAAGTCGATGATGTCGTCGGTGCCACACACCGCAAGCATTGCCGAATCGTGGCTCAACCGCATGCGACGGATCCCCTCGTTACCCCGCTGCCGGCGCACCGCTGTGTTGGCGTGACTGCCGCTGTTCTTCCCGCCGAGCGAGTTGTGGTGTGAGTAGGTGAAGTCTCTCGCACTAAGCTGGCACAGGTTGCGACGTACAGGGTACATCTGAATTACTCGAACGAGGCCGTCACAGGCACCAGTGAGGATGATGTTGTGGTTGAACGTGCTGTCGGGGTTGTTGAAAGAGATAATGCTCTCACACTCAGCCGGGTGCCGTTCAAGCTGATCGTACGGTCGTCGCCAGGAGCCGTACTTCCACACAGGCAGGCCACCGTTCGGTGTCCCACAGACGATGCTAGGTATGAATGTATTTGTGTTATTCCCCGTGTTGTTTACGAACGCGAAGCAGCTCAACTCATCCTTCCGCTTCTCGCTGTAGTCGCGGATTTTTCCACCGCGCAGGTCATATACGCCAAGACATGTGTCGCCGCTACTGGAGACGAGCTCTTGAATGTCAGAGAAGTACACCATCTGCGAGACGTAGTCGCCATGCTCGTGGTATCGGTGCGCCGGCGCCCGTTGACGCATGTCCCAAAGGACAATCATGCCATCATCGTCTCCGGTGGCCACTATTTTTTCATCACAGACATTCAAGGCGGATATACCAAACTTATGGGGATTCTTCTCCCTCTTTTTGGTGATTCCTTTCGTCTCCGGGGCGTTCTTGTTCTTCTTGCCTGTATTGCTCGTCACTGACTTCTTTGATGTCTCACCGGAGCCGATGTGCAGTGCAATGCTCTCCGCGACGCAGTCCAGGACGCTGATTGTGCGATCACTGCTCGCCGTCACGAGATAGTTCCCATCCTCCGTGAACTCCATCGCGGCGACGCTGCCTCGGGGGTGCATGCGCAGGTTGTACGGGCTCGCCTGCAACGTGGCGTCGGTGTTAGCGAAGTACTGCTGCGTGATGGGCCGTCGCCGCGTCTCGGTAGTGCGGTACTCGTGTACCTCCACCTCCCCCGTTACAAGGCCGGCGGCGAAGAGCGGCAGGCGCGGGTGCATCGCGATGTCCATCACCACAGCTGAGGCAAGCAGCGAGGGCGGCACTGTCGCCGCCTCCGCGTCGCCAAAGAGGACATCGTCAGCTGCCGTGGCGCCGTCGAGGTTCATGTCTTCTCTCGGATTATTCCCACTCCTCTTCGTGTGGACTTCTACTGGCGAGCTGCGCTTGGCCACAGTAATACCATCTGCCCAGGTATGACACAGTAGGAAGAGCAACACGAATACAGCAACCCCCCCCCCCCNAAGAAACAAATAAACAAACAGAAGCACAATAGAACGATGAACAATAATGCATGCTCCACGAATGAGCAGGTCTTATATGCATAGTTGCTGCGTGCACCCCACTCATTATTCCTCCGCTGCACATCTTCTCCAACTCCGTTCACTGTGAGGACACAAGGAACACACACATGAAGCGATGGCGAGGAGCCACCTGGCTGGAAATAAGCGCCCACGGCGCAGAGAGCCCACGCTCCGAGAGAAGATTCTTTGAAGAGGAGATTGCTGTTGTCGCTGGTAACCGTAAATATTATCATCATGAACATGACAACAATGAGCACTGAATTCCGAAAAAGAAAGAAAAGGAATTATAGACCCATCCACACACGCACACACACATGCCCACACATGTAATCGAATTGCCACTGCATCACTTCCCCAACAACCGAAGGAAGAAGGCAGCAAAACAAAAAAAAAAGGAAAAGGAAAACAAAAACAAAAACACCGACCAAAACGAAAAGAACAAGGGCACTCCTAGAAGCATTTACCATTTGCAAGAAAGAACGGACGAGACTCAATAAAGAAAAACAAAAACAACAACAATGCAGAAAGAGGTAGGCAATTCTAAGCCTCGTGGAGTCTGTCTCCCCTGCATCCATGCCTCAATCTTTCAGTTGCATGTGTGTATTAGCATGTGTGCATTCGTGTGCATAAAGCGACGATCCGAATCTGAGTACATGTGCTATTCTTTCCGTCATTCTGGAATGCTTGCTGTGCGGCCCCTTGACACATTATCCAGCCAGCGATTCGTACGGCTCGCTGTCCAGGAACTCCGCAATCCGCTCCGCCACCCGTTTCCTGTTTTTCCGTTCCGCGAAGAACCAATGGCCGCCCTGGACCGAAACCGCCTCTGAGCCGTCACGCCGTCCTTTTGCCTCGAGGTGCTCGACCCACTGCTGCGAGTGCAGCATCATCGGCTTCTCAGTGCCGTAGAGGAACAAAACAGGGACGCTTATGGGGATAAGGAAGCGCTGCGAGGTAGGAAGCAACCGGGAGACCCACAGCATCCAGTAGCGAACGTAGATCCAACCCCAAGTGGGATCTGCCTCAACAGTGCTTAGCTCTGCCTCTTCTTCGTTCTCGTGTGGCGTATTATAAGACCTCTGTTGCTGCTGCACCCCTCCGCGAGAAACGCGTCTGGCGGACTTCCTGCTCCTTCCATCACGCCCGTTGGCGGTGGGGACGGAGCGGCAGTTGTAGCACGTGTAGTGAATGCCTGTAGCGTTGGGGTGGGGTGGCAGTGTGTACACTGGTGTACCCTTCGCATAGTAGAACTGCCCGGGATGAAAGGCCGCAGCGAGGGTCTTTGCGCCTCCATCCGTCTCCATATCGTCGCTGCGACCGCCACTACCACTGGCGAGGCTGATGATGGTGTTGAAGAGTTCAAAGAGTCGCGCCATCCTCGGACGGTGACGACGCCTAGAAGTGCCCTGAACACAGGAGGGAACCAGCAGTAACTCCTCCTCGCCGGTGGCATTTCTTGTGGGAAGGGTTGTGCATACATACCGGTACTGCGGTCGACGCGCAACACCCAGAAACAACCGCAGAGCACACCTCCCCACACAATCAGGAAGGACGAGGAATGCTGCGATAATGAGGACTTGATACAAAATGATGCTGGCCACTTGAAACCACCAGCTCCAGAGGCTATCGCCGCGCACCGTAGCCATGGGTGCGTTGGAGACAGGTCCGCCAACGTCCAGCATCACGACACGGGCAAAAAAGTACGGTCGTGAAAGGAGGAACTCGTACGTGATGACACAGCCCCAGTCGTGCGCGACAAGCATCGGCCGCTCAAACGGACGGTTCTCCATGGCGGCGAGGACGGCGATCTCAAAGAGGTCCACCAGATTCTCGAAGGAGTATCCTAAGCGCGGCACAGGCAAGGGGACTGGGACGTCGCGCGCAACGCATCCCTCCGCCACAGCACCGCTGCGTCTACTACCCTTCTTATGGAATACCGGCGAGTGGCTGTCGAAGCCTGGAAGTGTTAATCCAACAATGCGGTAATGTGACTCCAGCGCGGCCATGATATTGCCACGGAAAACATCCGCCGTGTCCGGCCATCCAGCAAGAAAGATAACGGTGCGTCCGCTAGGGTTACCGGATATGTTGACGTTCATCTCTACGCTATAATAAAATAAGTGGAAATGCCCGCTGACTTCCGAAATCCCTCTCTCCCTTTCGGGATGGTGGAGTGTTGCAGTGGGGGAATTATTATTATGTATGTGTGGGTGTGTTGCGCCCCCACGACGGATTTCAACAACGGCCTGGTGAAGGAGGGTCGTACGTGCCGCCCTCTCTCACTGCTGTGGTGCCCAGTGCTATGACGAATCGGTATTGACAAACTGCGAGGCGGGGAGGTGCTTTTCCCACACCTTGCTTGCGCGATCTCTACGCTGCCTCTGCACAAAAGGTGTGGGGCGTCGCACCAACACACACACACACGTGCGGCACAACAAATAGGGTCAAAGAGAGAGAGAGAAACAACGAAACAGAGTAATTTTTGGCAGCTGGAACACCGGCAGAAACACCGACAGGAAAGGCGTAGGCGTATGAAAAGAAAAGGGGTCGAAAGGGCAGCACATACCTGTCCAAGGCGAACTTNNNCCACCCCCCCCCCCCCCCCGCCGCACATAAGAAGGGCAAAGGCTTGCTCTCTCTCTCTCTCTCTCGCTCAGATTGGCGCGCACCCACACCCACACACATACACACGCAGGGTGTGGACGTTTCTCTTTTCCTCCTTCCTCGGCCCGTACTCACGAAGTGCTTAAGTTACAGCGTTGTGTTGAGGTATCAAGTGAAAAGAGAGTAGACCGCCACCAACGCGGACGCCCCCCCTCCCCCCCAAGCGGCACGATTGCGCTGGAAGCCGGGCGGCGAATCAGCCGAACTCAGAGCATTTTATTCCTTCCCCGTTCGTTATCACAGCATCAATAATAAAAAAAACAGTAAAAAAAAGGTAAAGAAAAAGAAAAGAAAGATCAAAAAAATGAATGAACACACACACACA